TCTCGCTGTGGTGTGGCCGCGTGACGGGGCAGTGCAGGTCGGGTCCGGGACATGGACGATGCGGTGCTGGGGCATTATTTTCTGTGGCAGGACAAAGAACAATCACAAGTACAGACTCAGCCCACAGCCACCAGGGGGTGAGACCCAGGCCCCGGATCTCCCTCCGCTCTGCCCAGAGGCCCCGACCAGACACTGACCTGGACCAGCAGGGGCTTTATCACGGTGTCCACTCGCCCCTGGGCCGGCACCATGGCCACCTCTGTGCCGCACAGCTCCTCGGTGCGCAGAGCCTCAGTGCTGATGGTGAAGTTCACCTCCCCTGCCGAGCAAGGTGGGAGACGCCCCCATTAGACAGACCAATGCCCCTTCCCGAGGCAGAGAGGAGCCCGGGTCTGAGGGGGGAGAATAGTGGGAGGGGGAGGGTGGTGAAAAAGACAGAGAAAAGCAGAGGAAATGGAGAGCGAGAGAATGGGGGAGAAAAGAGAGAGAAGGAAAGGGGGGAAGGGAAGGATGGAGGGAAGTGATGAGTGGAGTGTAATGGGTTTTTCTGCCTTAGCCCTGGTGTGGGAACAGCGAATGGCCACCCAGAACCTGCCCCCTCCCTGCTGAAATCACTGTCTGCTGCGTTGAGGGGGGGAACCTGAGAACGTGACATCGCAGCAGGAAGCAGCAGCGACCAGCGGGACGGCAGAGGGGTCCTGACCTACAGGACTCGGTCAGTGAGACTGCTGGAAGCAAGCGGGGTCAAACTGTGCTTGAGTCAGATGTGGTTTGTTAAGGCAGGTAATAGTAAACGTCTTCTCTTTATTTGTCTTGTAACCATTTCTGACTGTTATGCCCCATTCCTTGCACTCACTTAAAATCTCTCTTTGTGGTTAATGAACATGTTTGATTGTTTTATCTAATCCAGTGTGTTTAAATCCAAGTGTCTGGGAAACTCCATGTGGGGTGACAGGACGAGTGCATGGTATTCTCGTAAAGGAATATCGGCCGTAATGTAACTTGTATTGCCAGGAGAGGGCTGGGCAGACAGGACAGACCTTTCTGGAGGAAGATCTGGACTGGGGGCGTTGGGGTTGCCCTGCAGTATAACCCAGGCTGCCAAAAGCCAGAGTGTAACCTGGGAGTGGCAGGCAGGCTGCAGTCACACACAGACGCTCAGGGTGTGGCTTGCGCGCTGGGGCTGTGTGTGAGCAGCCCAGGTGGGAGCTACTGAAGGCACCCAAGGGCGCAGGTCAGGGGTGACAGAGCTGCTCATTAGTCTGGATTGTGCCCTGCTATGGCGCAGTGGCTCAGCGGCAGAGAGACAGCGGCAGCTGGGAGTCAGCTGCAGACAGCAGCAGTGGAGGCATTGCCAGTGAGTGGGGCCGAGCTGGCTCTGTGCTGCGCTGTTAAGGGGAAACCCTGATATTGAACCCGGCCCTTGTTGCTGCCAGCTCCACCTGGCACAAGGGTTAACGTGAAAGGGGATTTTCTGCTGGGGTGTCCTCGCCTCCCCTCCCCGCAGCTCTTCCCGTCCCTTCCCCTTCCCCTCGGCACCGAGCCCAAGTGACCCTGTTCTGCGCCCTCCTCCTCACTCCCAACACAGAGCCTCCAATGCCCCTTACCGGTCTGTCCCCCACGCAGAGCCTCCAAAGACCCCTACCTGCCTCCCTACTCAAAGGCTCCAGCACCCCTTCTCTGCCCCCTACTGTGCAGAGCCCCCCACCCCTTCCTTGCCCCTCCCCTCCGGCACAGAGCCCCCAGCGCCCCTTACCCAGGCTGCTCGCTGTCACCTCCCACTGGAAGGTTTTCCATTCGTCTGCACAGAGGCAGCTGGTGTAGGCGCTGTCCTCGCCTGCCTGCGCCTGGAACTGCGCAGACTCCGCCAGCGTCACTCGCACCTGTGGGGCCAACACGAGATCCCCCTTAGGGCTGTGGGGGACGCGCTCACACGCGCCAGCTCCAGCCGAGACATGGCCCCTCTGGGGCTCAGGCCCCCTCACCGCGATGTGCTGACCCCAGTGGTCACAGGGTCACAGCCAGTGACTGCCGGTGCCACTCGCCGGCCTGCACCGCTGCCCAGCTCCCCAGCCCCACGTCACCGGCCCCAGCAGCTCCAGCAGCTCAGCCCCGGGCGGCACTCACCTTGATGCACTGCTGCAGGTAGTTGAAGACGGTGGCCTTTAGGGCAAAGGCCTCTCCCCGGATCACGGAGTACGGCAAGGCCAGCTCCACAAAGAAGGGTTTGACGGCTGTGAAGGTGGCCGTGGGCGAGAGGCCAAAGCCCACCTCCGCCATGCAGAACATCCCAGCTTTCCATTCCGTGATGGTGTCGGGCACCGAGACTGGGACTTCCTTGGAGCCCCCCTCGCTGGGCCGGGACGGACACAAACAGAGCGTCAGACACACGGCCGCCCCGTGGGAAACGCCCACGAGCCCGGCCACCAGAGACGTCCCTGCCCGACCCTCTGCTGGGCTGGGGCCCTGGTCCGGTGGCACAGAAACAGGCCAATCTCAGACAGCAGAGAGGGGAAGAGCTGTCAGTGCCCCCCTCTCGTCCCCACCTCCGCCACCCTGCTCGGGATCCCCTGCCCCTCCCACTTCTACCCCATGTGCCTCCCTCCATGCCCCCCTCCCGGGGATTCAAACCCCTCCCATGTTCTCAGAGTTGGAGCTCCCGGGCACCGTGTGGGAATGAAAACACCACGAAGGGCAATGGGGTCAGGATGATAAACCCTCTGTTGACTCAATGGGATCCAGGGAATGCCTGGGGAGGGGCTGGCATGAACCCTGCTCTGCGGGTGAGACGCAGGGTCACGGTGCTGCCCGGGCTCCCAGCCCTCTCCCCCGCTCTGTGGGTTCGTTACATCTGTAAAGAGATGAATCCCACAGTCCTGGGGGCTTATTATTCCCTGTTGCTGTGCTGGGCCACTCTCCGCTGGCAACAGGGCGCAGGAACCAGCACCATGCGGGCAGCCAGCCTTCCCCCAGCCAGTGCGCCGCCTCTGGGAGCTGCTGCTTTCGAGGGTCTGGCCTGGAGGCCACTCTGCAGGGATGGTCTGTGACAGCTCCTCACTCACCCCACAGGGACCAGGTCCCACAGCCATGTCTCTGTGAAGTATGCACGTGGCGCTGGCTCCTCCTGGGTGCAGGCTTCTGGTGCTAGCCGGCCATTGCTCACTGGGGTCCCTGCTGCACTATCCACACTTGCTGCCCCAGGGATCATGCCAAGAAAAGATACAAAGGGGGGTTGAGGGAGCCCCACCCTGGTTTGCGGGCAAATCCAGATGATGATTCACGTGTGTTTGCACCTGCAATGTCTCGATGTTTGGGGACTTTTCGGGGGCTGCATGTGGCCCCTGGGAGCTCTGAGAACTGACCCCTGTTGGCAGGGCTGGGACTGGAGGGGGTGGGGCTGGGGGTGTCCTATGTGCAGCACACGCTGGTGGACTCAGCACATGGGCAGGAGACAGAGAGTCCTGAGCTCAGTCCCAGCACTGCCCCGAGCAGCGTTAAGGGTACGTTGGTGGGGAGGGATAGCTCAGTGGTTTGAGCATTGGGCTGCTAAACCCAGCGTTGTGAGTTCAATCCTTGGGGGGGGGGGATCTGGGGCAAAAATCTGTCTGGGGATTGGCCCTGGTTTGAGCAGGGGGTTGGACTAGATGACCTCCTGAGGTCCCTTCCAACCCTGATATTCTATGATATGTTGCACTCCTGTAGCCCTTCCTGTAGCCAGGCAGGTCAAATCATTAGCCACACTGAGCAGCTGGGACATGGAGGCCTAGAGAGGCTCAGTGCGTTTCTACCGCAACCACCGAGCACAAGTGGGCATTGCAGGACATCATGTGATCACCTCCATAACACCCAGCTTGACTCTCAGATCCCAGGGCTGCGCATGGGGCTGGAGCTAGAAAAGCCATCAGTCTCGGTGTAAAGCAAGATTATCTGGGCTGGAGTCACTGAGAGACAGGCAAGGAGTTGGGTGATGCCAGGGTCACCACCACGTGGCACTGTGTGATTAGCATGGGTATTGGGGTGGTGCCCGCAGGAGGTCAGGCACTGTCCCTCCACAGGCAGCTGCAGCCCCTGCCTCAAAGAGCCTCCAGCCGAAGGGGGAGGAGCAGAGCTGAATTGGAAGGGTCAAATGATCACATGTGCCCAGCTCCCACTGAGAACACTGGAGAAACCCTCGCACCCTGGCCCCATTGAGAACAATGAAGAACCCCCACTCCATTGAGAACAATGGAAGTGCCAAGGGCAATGTCAGAATAGAGTGACCAGATGTCCTGATTTTATAGGGACAGTCCCTATTTTGGGGTCTTTTTCTTATATAGGCACCTATTACCCCCCACCCCCTGTCCCGATTTTTCACATTTGCTCTCTGGTCACCCTATGTCAGAACCAGGATCAGAACCCAGGTTCCAGGCCCGATCTATGAGCCCACAGGGCTGTCTCCCCTCAGAGGGCAGAGAGGGCATTTGGAATTGTTGATCAAGAGGGATGGAAGTGCCCAGTCCACTGACCTAGTGAGGACAATGCAGGACCACGCCGTTCACAGGGCTTCTTGGTGTTGGTGTTGGTGAGAATTTCCAAAGCCGCATCCTGGGTGAGAAGGAAGACAGAGGAAAAAACATCCGGAGCTGCTAAAATAGGGGACTGTGGCATCATACTTTCGCGTTTCTCCTCCCCCACCTACGCTGGAAGCATCAAGAACACTGGGAGGACAAAGACTTCAACTGAGGAGACTGGTCTCAGGCTTAAAAGGGGAAGCCTGTGTGTTAAGAACTGTAACCTCTAGTGGGGTGAGAAAACTGCTTGATCCAAATACTGCCTAGTGTAATAAAGTTTAGGATTTAGACTGAGCACTTACCTTTTATTTTCTTGAGTAACTATCTCTGACCTTTTGTGCCTACCACTTATAATCACTTAAATCGATCTTTCTGTAGTTAATAAATCTATGTTATATTTTACAGAAAACAGGGTGTTTGGTTGAAGTCTTGGGAAATCTCAGCTGAGGTTACAAAGGCTGGTGTGTCCCCTCTCCACATCGAGGGAGGGGCGGGCTGGGTAACAAACTTACACTAGTCAAGTCAGGCTTCTGACCAGGGCAAGACGGTACAGTTCCAGGGTGCAAGGCGGGGGGCTTGGGAGATTGGCTGGTGCCTTTCTCTGTGTGATTCATATGTGGCTCTGGGAGCATTCATGCAATCTAGCTAGGTGGGGGTCTCCACATGCTGTTGTGCTGAGTGATCACAGTGCCTGGAGAGGTTTGCTACTTGTCACTAGCAAAGCACTGTGAGAGACAGCCCAGGCTGAAGAGTGAAGGGGGCACAGCAGTATTCCAGTTCCAGGGTGTACCCGGGGATCCCATCACACAGAGCTGTGCCTGTGACAGGACGAGAGGGACCCGTGAACCTCAAAGGGTCCAGTCTGCTGCCGTCCAGCCCTGAGCCGCCTGCTTGGATTCTCCTAATTGGGTGCTGGAGGCTTTGCCCTTCCCTCTGCTCGACGCTCGTTTCCTTGGCAACCCTCTGCAGGAACGGCAGCGTCTGCACGTGGCTCTTACAGCCCTTGAAAACATCGCCTCCAACCCCAGATTTTGGTATCGGGTAAAACTGCCAAACGGAGCCGCTGCAGAGTGCAGGCAATGGGCACAACCCGCATCCTCCGAAACCTGCCCTGGGTGGGAGCTGAATTCACAGCCCGTGGGCACCCCGGCAATCCACGGGCCACAGCACGTCCCCTGGCGCCCCTCGGTCACTGTGACACCAGACTGCCTGCAAACCCGCTGGCTCCACGGAGCCCCAGCCTGGCTGCACATGCGCCTCCCACTCTCTGGGGCCTCCGTTCAGGTCGCCCCCCCCCCAATCAGGGCAAAGAGCATGATGAGAACCGGGCGGTCGTGGAAACACCTTTTATGAGGGGGGCTGTATCTTGGCCCCCCCCACTCAAATGACCCCACATGTGGCCCACTAGCCCCTCCCTGTCCAGCCATGAGGCACAGCAAATCTCAGGCCAGGCTGTGGATGTCAGAGCACTCACACACTCCTCTTTAAACAGCCAGCGACACTCAACCTCCGCTCGAGCAGAGCTGCTGCCCCCCTGCAATGTGCAGCACCCGCCCATGGGGCCGGCCGCGCTCCCCGAGCTCCCCCCGCGGCAGCATCTGTCTGGTCCCCTGGTGCCCAGAACCCAACGCCCCCGCCCGCCTGGGGAACAGTTCTGGGGAGTGACTTGGCCAGTGGGCAGCCCCTAGATGCCGCGGTGCACGCGGTGCTGGGTGCCATGGGCAGCACGCTCACTGTACGGGGCTGCTGGCAGGTGGAGGGCGGGTCCCGGCCCATTCCACTATGGCCGTCTGACTGGGCTCCCGGGCCCTGGGCAGGCTGCCATCACTCAGAGCAGCCCCCAGCTGGGACAGAGCCCCGGTCTCCTGACTCCCAGCCCCTGAGGGCTTTGGGAGGACGTTGTCCATCCCTCCCTCAGGTGGGCCAAGACACCATCACCCTCCGCACCCATCCTCCACCCCCTCCGCACCCATCCCCCCACCCTCTCCTTGCCCCTTCTGCACCCATACCCCCTGCACATTTCACTCAGGTGGCTTCCTACTCCTCCAGGCTGCCTGAGACGGGCAGGGGAGCACGGGGAGCACCAAAGGCACTATCTCTGGGAGCTCCGTTCCCACACCCAGTGCCACCGCAGGTCCTGCTGGCCGGAGGAGACATTTCAGGAAAATCCTGCTCTGCCCCCATGGTCTGGGCTGGAGCAGGCTCAGTCGCTCTGTGGCGAAGGTGCGCACAGGCCAGTCGGCACGTAGGAGGGGATGGAGCAGGCGCAGTGCAGAGGGATTCCTCACAGAATAATGCTGCAAACTCCAAACCTCTGCTGGGCATGTGAGTCCTGCCATTCCCAGGGGCTTCCCATTCAGCCGAATGGGGGCTGCATGTCATGGGAAAGGCAAAGGGCACCTCCCTGACCCCAGGGTGACCTCCAGACCAAGGGTCAAGTCTCTGCTCCGAGGGAGGGAGCTTCTCAATTAAACAGCTTCATTTTATCATGGGAAAACTGAGTATTTTCCCCATCTCTCCTTCTGAGCAACTGCTGAGCTGTGTTAGCTGAAACGCCTCAGAAAGTTCAGCCTGAGGCCGACCCCTGGCTGGGGAAATTTCAGCCCCAAACGTTTCAGCCTGACAAAGTTACAAGAACTGAAAACTTCTAACGGGAAGTGCCAGAGAACTGTAACTGGAGGTGGCGCTGCCAGCCCTGCATGTAATATCCCTGTGCCCAGGAGTGGGGCGGGATGGGGCGTTCCTGCTCCCTGGATACGCCGGGGATCTGTCCCAGGGCCTGGGCCATGTCTGAAGGTGGCTGGGGAGGTGTATCCCAGGCCTGAGTTTGCTAGGAGCATCCCTGGGGATTCAGTAGAACAGGCCGAACTGTTTGGTGGGATTCACTCCTGGATGCCAGCAGCTCTGGGCACATTGGAGCCAGTTTAGTCCTTTCAGGCTACAGAGGAGTGTGAGGCCTGGCCAGGCCCAACCCTACCTTAAACAGGCTGTCGGCATTAGGCAGTGCGGGAGTCTGGCTGCTAGTCCCTCTGCGACACCTCCGCCTGCCAACGCGGCAGTGAAGAAATGGAACCAAACCAGCGCTACCTGCACTGATTAACTTATCAATGTGTGGAGGAGGATCACATGACTCAGGCTCTCGCACTGCATCGGGATAGTCTCCTCGGTGAAAATTGGGGAGCAAGTTATAGACCTAAAGACAAACACAGACAACATCAGCCATGAAACTAAGACACGAGCTACCCCAGAGCCAGCTCCTGCCCCTCCTCCCACTAACACATCACCCCACAAACCTCCGCTTTCGCCCCAGCCTCATCTCTAGCCTGGACACCTCCTCCACCCTGCCCATCCCCCAGCCCCATCCACCACATGGGCGTCTGTCCCTGCACCTCCCCCCCAGCCCTAGGAGAGGATTTTGGGGTAACAACTGGCCCATCGAGTCCCGTCTCCTGCTGCCCCACGGGGCTTGGGAGGCTCCACTCACCATGTGCAGAGCCCGTGAGCCCCTGGACGGCATGCACCAGCGATGGGCCGAGTGCGATTCCGTATAGTCACCTGGGCAGGGAAAACTCCCACAATGCACCTGGCCAGTTGTCTCCTGCTGTACATGGGGGGCAGGGAATTCTCCTGCCCTTGGGAACCAACTCTGCCCTGGACAGTGAGCTCCGGTTACCCCGGCCATTATCCCAGCTCCGACCTCCATGTTCCCAGCTGGAGTCGGGGTGAGGGGTGCCGGGAGGGGGGCACTGCAAGGGCTGATGGGAGAATGGGCAAGGCAAGCGGGGACCCCTCAGAGTTAGGGGGTGTCAAGTCCCATTGGAGCAGCCCTCAGACTGGGAGAGGTGGCCTCGAGGGGTGTCCTCCAGCGGTTGTGCATCGCCCCTCCCTGCAAGGGGGGAGAACTCGTTGTGGGAGGGGATGGGTGAGCGGCTGAGCTGCTCTGGACTCACCGTGTCGACGCTGAGCTCAGCCTCGGGCTTCATGAGCAGCACGCTCTGATCCACGGCGTGGACGGCGCACAGGGACCCGGGGGCAGCCTGCACCCGCAGCTGGAGCTCTGAGCCCGGCAGGGCCCGGTCCTGCGAGAAGGCCAGCTTCACCTGGCGAGGCACAGCGCGTCACAGGGGAGGGGGAGAGAGATCCCCAGGGGCAGGAGGAGACAGGCCCGTGCAGGGGTGGGGGCAGGTACCGAGTGTCACTCTGGCCCCAGGCCCCGCTGGCTGAAGGGCTGGGGCTTTGGGAGTTCGTGCTGGGGGTGGGGGGTCGAGGCAGCCCAGGCTCATTCAGTGCCCCCGTGGGACGGCTGCGGGAGCTGCAGTTATTCATAGACATCTAAGGGGGGGGGGGATAGGAGGTGCATTGGGGTAGGGATACGACAGGATCGCCAGCCCCACCAGATAAAACTCATGAGCTGAAGGCTGAGCGATGAGGCCAATATCAAGCAGATGCCAGTTGCAGGGGGGGGCAGACACCATTGCCGAGGGGGGCATTGAAATGCCTCCGGGTAACAGTGCACTGCCTCCCTGGGCCGTGGGCCAGACGGGTCACACTTACCCCCAGTTGTAGATAAATCTCTGCATTAAGCATCTTCACATAACTTTCATATGACTTTGTATTATGCCTCTATTTTCATACAACTTTGTATCAGATCCTTATATAGAAAACTTTGTATTGAGCCTTGGTATAATGTTAAAAAAATGTATTTTTGCTAGGAATAGAATAAGATCTCTCCCCTGCCCCCTTTTAATCAATTGCCCTGTTGAATGAATGAGGTGTGAATAAGGAAGGCGTGGGCTCACTAAAGAAGAACAGACATATTGACAGCCTCAGGGGTTAGAAGCAAGCACCTTCTTTTGAAAACACCCTCTTTGAACAGTACTGGGACAATACTCAGGGCAGGTCTTCACTACAGGGGGGGTCGATTTAAGATACGCAAATTCAGCTACGCGAATAGCGTAGCTGAATTCGACCTATCGGAGCCGACTTACCCCGCTGTGAGGACGGCGGCAAAATCGACCTCCGCGGCTCCCCGTCGACGGCGCTTACTCCCACCTCCGCTGGTGGATTAAGAGCGTCGATTCGGGGATCGATTGTCACGTCCCAACGAGACGCGATAATTCAATCCCCGAGAGATTGATTTCTACCCGCCGATTCAGGTGGGTAGTGTAGACCTAGCCTCAGAAGAAAGCAGCACAAAGGACCAACAGACACAGACACAGATTTTGAATCTGGTATAGATTTGTGTGAGAGAGAAGCCGCTATAAATGTGAGGTGTCTTGCGGAGGACCCTGGGTCTCGTCTTGTCAACATGGGAGCATCGATTCAGATCGACAGAAGCCCAGCTCCACCCCTCCCCCATCTAACTCACCTGGCCAGTGAAGTTAAGGGGAGCAACTAATTGGTAACAACAACAAGACGGACTGTGCTTGTGTGTGTGTAAGTGCATAAGTGTAATATATATCATATGCATATGATACAGTTTTGAGTAATACATGTATTACCAATAAATGTGGTGCTTTGCCTCATTCCCCCTGAAAAGATCCTGTGCAGTATTTTAAGTACAACAGGGTGAAGTGGGAGGGGGCAGAAGGACTCAGCCAGACCCCACAAGATGGAGGGGAGAGGTAGAGGAGGAATTTTGTATCTTTACCTCCCTACTCCCAGGGGGGAAGGGCCTTCCCCGCAACTGACCCCTATGTGCAGTGGGGAGGGGGTTGACGGCTGGTCCCTGGTGAAAGCTTTTTCTCAATGACAGAGAGTGGAGCCTCAGCCTTCATGGGGGAGAGTTTCTACTGCTCAGCTGGGTAAGAATGGGAGCCGACTGCCGGCCCAGAGGAAGGGAGGGGCCCCTCCCCTCATGACACTTGTGCCCCAGTTGACTGGAGTGGCAGTAGCCCCTTAGAAGCCCTCTAAAGAATTATGGCCAGATGGCCACCCTTGCAAGCCTCCAGAAGGGAAGGGGGCTCAGACCATCATAGCCTGCCCCCCGCCCCAGGAATCTCCCAGGGTGAGCAGGGGCAGGCGCAGGTTGGAGGATGGGCAGTGGGTAGGGTTGAGGTGGCAGAAGTTCTGGGGGGTGGGGGAGCAAGTAGCTGCAGAGACTGGGGAGTGGGGAGGGCTCAGGGCAGCAGGAACCTGCCAGGGAGCCCAGAGTGGGACGGGGAGGGGCCGGGTCTCAGGTAGCTGCCTGGACCTGGTCAGTGGGGTGGGAGGGATGGGAGAAGCTCTGGGGAGCTGGGTACAGGGAGGCGAGGGGTGGGACAGGCAGGCAGTAGGTACCTGCTGGGCCCGGAGTGAGAGGTTGAGTCCGCAGGGGAAGCAGGGTGGGCTGGGGGAGGGGGGAAGGGTTTGGGGTTAGGAGGTACTTGCTGGGGCCAGGGAGAGCGGAATGGGGAGGGGGGAGGGCAGGCACCTGCTCCTACATTGTGCGAGGGCCGGAGCTCTTCCTGTCACTGCAGGAACACCTGCAGGGGGGGACAAAATGGCTAGTGATCAATTCACCAGAGGTGGCACTACCGCAACGACCCTAGCACTGCTGTAAGGCCGGGGAAGGGAAGGGCCAAGGGCACCCAGCGATACCTCTGCTCCTGTTATGGGGCAGGGAGCGATTCTCCCACCGCCAAGGCCCCTCTGCCCTGAGCCCCATGCTGACCTTGTTCGGGAGGCACTTGGCCATGTGCAGCCGGGCGCTGTCGGCAGCCATCTCGCCATCGGGCAGCACTGTGTAACCCAGCACCTTGGCAGCGGGAGCCAGGTCAGTGCCGACGGGCAGCTCCACTGAGAAGGAGCCCGTCAGCCCTAGGGACAGTGGGAAACACCCAGGGGAAGTCAGTCCCAGCCAGCAGAGCCCCCTCCCCCAGCCCGGCCCCTGCTCAAGGGGCTCAAACCCAAGTAGCCCCCTGGGCGCCCCCTTTCTGCACAGACCCCTCCCCCGCCACTTACCAGCCCCCTCCATGAGGTCCAGCCCCTTGTGGAGGATCCTGGCGATGGCTCCCTTGGCCACAACCTGCGGAGGAGGAGACGGGCGTCACTGAGCTGTGTGACGCTGTGTGGAGTCTGGGAGACACTTTATGGTATTGTTGATACCAACATTAGAAAATTGCAGGGAATCTGACCAGATATGCCATGGAAGGTGTCTGTGAAAATGGTGCAATTTGCCAAGTATGAGGATCTTGTTTATATGTTTGTATCACCTTTGTATTGTGTTCTAGGTCTGTGTGGTACATCTGTATTTCAAAACTCAGGCTGTGGTTCTGGGTGACACCCCCAGACAGATTGGCATCAGCACTGCTGAGCCTGTTCGACCCCATCACGGGTCATAGCCTGACAGTGAGCCCATTGAAAGGAACTAGGGGTGTAACCCCTTAGGAGCCAGCAAGGCATGTAGGGGCAGGCTGGTGGACAGAGAACTCTAAGGCTTTTCCATGCCATGAGCTGTGCAACTTGTGTTTGGGACAAAGGAAGTACCAGTCGCATGGCAAAAGGAATATAAAAGGCAGCTGAGTCTTCTCCATTTTGTCTCCATTCCTGCTTCTTACCTCTGGAGTAACTTTTCTACAAACGAAGCTCTGAACAAAGGACTGAATGACCCATCCAAGCTGTGGATCTGTTCCAGAGGGACTTTCAAGCCAACAGACTCACCAATACTGCTCAGAACCTGATATATGGACTTTGACGTCTCTGTTTGTATGTGATT